TTAAGAAAGATAAAAAAATACTAAAGAAAACTATAAATTTAAAGCTATTTAAATAGGGAATTAAAGTTTTTTTTTTTTTTTTTAATTTAGACTTAATAGATGAGAAAATGTTTAAAAACCTCAATTATAAGTTAATTAAATTAATATAAAGTTCATTTCATTTTGAATCATATCCTTAGTTTTTAAATTTATTTAAATTCTAAGTATTTTCTCTATGTTTGAAATGGTAATTGAAATTCACACTATAAAAACATAATTTTTAACAAATAAAAGTTAGAGTACCATATTAAATGTTTTTTAAAAGTTTAAGGGGGGCGGCTGCCCCACCTCGTCCTTGATTGGCTTCATCCCTGGGCGCAAACGCTGCTGGAAAGCTACTGTGGAGAAGAAGACTTGCAACTCCGGAAGGTTAGGAGAGGCCCCATCTTCTTGATTGGGCTGCAGCGGTGTTACCAGCTATTTCTATTTTGTCTTCATTTGCTCATCTATTCCGTTTCATGTTTTATTAGAAGAACCTATGTGGGATGTAATGCTTTCTGTTATATGGTAGTTTTCGATAGCTAAAAAAGGGAAAAAAGAAGCAAACAAAAATGTCTAACCGTGAGGACTCAAATACCACACAAGGTGGAGAACGAAAAGTAAGGAGGCTCTTGATGGTCATTTAAAATTTTGAACATTCTCTTTGCTAACCCAAAAAAAAAAAAAAACTTCAATGAAAGACGCTTACGAGGGGAATGGAAGTTTGGATTTGAGGGGGCCGCCTTTCCCAGATCCACATCTGATAAGAAACCCTGTGTCCTATGCAACAATGGATCAGAAACTGTTGAGCACCTCTTCTTTAAGTGTAGCTATGCAAAATGTGTGTGGAAGAGTTTGAGTGCCATGTCTGAAATTCCTTATCTGGATTCTTGGCAACAGCTTGTGTTACGCATGGGGAAACGAATAGGAAGAAAGTCTTTGTATCAGACACTCTTCAAGTTAATGCGGAATGCTGCAGTCTACCATGTTTGGATGGAAAGGAACAGGAGAATCCACCAACATATCTACAAGACAGCAGATGTAGTGTGTGAAGAGATTTGTTTTGATGTGAGACACAAAATTTTGGAAAATGCTAGGCCTTTTCCCTCTATTTTAAGTGCATCAATTGCTTTAAAATGGGGTTTTTGAGATTGTTGTATAGAGCCGAGTTTTTTGTTTTGTAGTAGCAACAAGTTGCTGGTGAACTTCTTGTACAAATAGTTTCATGGATAAATATAATTTTCACATTTTATCCAAAAAAAGAAACCCTGTTTTCCGAAATCATGATCCATCAGCGCTGACTCGTAGAGAGCCTCCGATGGCAAATGAGTTGTATTTATGGAGGGGAAGACCAGGTGGAGAAGAGCGATGCAGAGCGATTGACCTTCATTCGATCGACAACGGTAGTCAACATCGGGCGTTTTACTTTAAAATCGTGGGAAGACTTGTATCTGGGGAGAGAAATAGAGGCGCGCGACCCGACAATCTTGATGAGGTTGGCCTATCGATTCACTATTTGCAAACACCGCTGTCAAGAAGATGGAAGCCAAGGTAAATGAAGAAAAAGAAGAGACAAGTCTCATGAAGAACAATCTGGCAGAGACGAAAGCGATGATGGAAGAGATGGAATCAATGCTTAACCAACTGAAGGGAGGAGTTTACGCTATGAGGAACTGGATGCAGATAACTTAATATTGTTTTGCTATATTGAAACTACCATTGTTGAGTTGCTTCAACTGGCTTTGTGCAGTGAATCATCTGTTGTGTCTCCCAATAGTCTTTATTCATGTGAGTGCTGGCCATGTTTCTTTGATGTTGGGGATTGGTGACAATAAGGAATGGAAGACTGGAGCTTATTTTGCCCATGCATACCAGGTGTTTGGTCAAATGCTTGTGTGGGGATGTGGGTTCTACAATATGTGCAGAGGTTGTACACAGTAGGACTGATCGCTTACATATTTTCAGATTGATGATCTTTGTATATGCAATGCATGTTAGAGTTGTACCATCCTAAATAAAGTATTATCATTGTCAATCAAAAAAATTAGTCTGTAGCTACTCTATAAAGTTCGCATTTCTGAATGCCTTAGTTACCTTCCTCATTAGACAGCATGCATCACAATCTCAAAGCTTTTCACACTCTTCCACCAAAAAAATTATGTCGATGATAATGAACTCATTGGAACCAACGCAATATTCAATGGCAAGCAATCAGAACAGAGAATGAACCCTATGGATAGTATGTAAACCCTGTATAGCAATAGCAGACACTGTTGGGGGATTTAAGAATAACAATACATCATTGGAATTGAGTAGTTCTTCAAGGGAGTAAAAAAGAGACATGTTACTAGCAACAAAGTAGGATGGTATTTGATACTCATTGTAATAAGAAGAAAAGGACCACATTATATGTTGACCTCAGGTACAGCATCAGAAGATACCTGAATTCATTTCAGAACACCTAGAGGACATCATTTGCCCAATCCAACCTTGTAAATGTTGACTTAATCTTATATCCAAGAAATTAAGAAAAGTGAATTCAATACTTTGCAGCAAATGGTTTAAGAAATAATAGAGCAATTATGCTTTCAGCATCCATCTTAGAATCAATCTAGCTTCACTTTATCAAGGGAGAGGATATTCTAAATAAGTCAGTTGCTTGTTTGGCAATAACAGTACGAGTCACAGATAACCAAAAGCAAAGTCATCTTTATTTATAGAGGAAGTACCAAATATAAGACAACAAAGATCCACATAAACTGACTCGAAACAGAGAAATAGAACATAGAAACCAAACATTGCCATTACATTACATGACACACAAACTTGGTAGGGAAACAACATATGCAAGGCTGACTGTTTGGCCCAAGTTTCAATTGAGTGCACCATTCAAGAAAACTTGTGTTTCTTCCATGTGCTTGGCCACCAACTCCCTAGAAAGCAAAAAAGAGAAAGATATGTCTCGCTGATCCAAAAATGAAATTTAATATATAAAACGCATAAATATAAGAACCTGAAATTGTTTTAATGAACCCAACCTCCTAGACTGCCTAAGATGATCAGCTCTGACAAAGTCACCCTCATCTTCTGCATCTAGGATACCAAGGTTAAGATCAATACCATGTCGGATGCATGCATCCTCCTTCCAGAAGAATTCATTCCTCTTTCTCCTTTTAACACATTTGATTTCTTTCCGTTTCACCTTTGCCTTCTGTTTCTCCAGACATTCTCTTGCGCAATTCAGTTCTGCTCTAAGCCTGGCTACCAATCTTGGCCATTTCAGAGTCACCCTTTTTTTCAGTTTCTAAATTGTTTAAATTGGTTAGGCACACAAATAAAAAAAAAGTTAAGTGAAAATCTTAGTAAAAAAAAGAAAAGAAAAAGACTATTGAAAAAAAGGGTGTGGCTTGAATCTTGCTCAACCAAACATGACCATGAGAAACAGGATTCAAGCCATGGTAGGGGAAGAAATGAAACTACCAGAAACGCCTTCCTCTCTATTCCGACCGCCATGATTTCAGCTCTTCAAGAAAAACAGCAGTGGAAAGAAATCAATTTGCTGCAATCAAGTAGCATTGGATCTTAAATTGCACGTAAAAGTACTCTATTCAAACCCACATACCACAGGCTTGCTCTACCTACAGAGATTAGCCTTGGAATACAAAAGAATTGAAACAAATTCAGAAAATTCCTGACATATTAAACCAGAATTTCCCACTTACATCATTTTATTGGGTAAAGGAGAATCAGTAAACGAACAACAGAAGGCAAAACAGAGTATCTCATCCATGAGCATGAACCAATATTAAAGAGATAGGAGCAGAACATAAAAACCAATTCAAGAATGTAAAACAGCTATATGACACTGAAAAGAAAGGAGGAGAAGAAGCTCGCACCTGATGCAACAAAGAGAAAAGTCGAGTCGAGCTATGCCTAGTGCAAAGGATGCCGTAGTTCTTCTAATTTATAGTTGCGGGAGTGGGAGTGAGGCTTGGAGAATGAAAGCCGCCACCGCGTGGTTGTTGAGAGTGTTACCCGCGCACGCGCGCGGATACTAAAAACCGCGCATCCAAACCGCCCCCTGATGGACACTAAAAACCGCGCTAACTCCTACAAAGTCTCAGTAAATGGGATTAGACATTTCCATATAGACCACAACAAATAGGACACAAACAAAGATGTGGGAGTATCTCATAGTAGTTGGAGAGATATTAATTATAGTCACCAAAGAAGAATGTCGCTTTCCTAATATGAAGAGACAAACCCAAAAGTAGAAAAAAGCATATGAACAGGAGATGTAACTGCATTACATCATGATTTCAGACATCTCAGTTAGCACTACAAATTAAACTGATTCTCTGAAAAAGTGTTTCGTCCTTTTACAGACAAAATGTTGGCTACATGATAGAAGCTGTCATCCCGTTTTTCAAGCACGGCATCAACAATTTAATATAGCTAGTTTCTGGATTAACAACTGGCTGCTCTGTTCTCAGTTTCTGTTAGTTAAGCATAAAATTAATGAGGAACATAACAATGTATAGGCAGTTAATGATGGGGATGTGTCCCTACTTGTTCATGGTTGTTTACCGTGTTATGACATAAAGAACATTTGCATTTCCTTTGACTTATATTCTTTTCCCACTATACTTTCTCATCCTAATCTCAACCCTGATAGATTACGTTCACATTAATTCCAAACCACGTTACCTACATAGACATAATAATAATGCAAATATTGCTAAAAGATACTTTAAGATAGTGATAGATTGTTAAGTGAGAAAATCCTACATCGAGTATAAAATAGAAAAGCTTGTTGGTTAAATACAAAAAAGGCCACCCCAGCTATTGAGGTTAGATGCAGGACTTGTGTTGAGCCCACATGCAGGATTTTCAATATATACTTCTGAAATTAAGGCCATACAAACTATAATTATAATCTAATACTGCATCAGAGCTATTACTTCAGCTTCATATTGAAAAATTACTACCTTTTTCTGTTCCTTAATCTCCATGGCTTCAACTTTCTGCGAAAACATGTACAAGGAACTTGAAAAGTGGGATGAGACAATGAACCAGCAAGGCAAGAAATTGCATAAATTCTTGTGGATATACAAAGCATGTTGCAAGGAATTGATTTGAGTGTCCAAACCAGAAAAAAGAAAAGAGAAATACATCACATTAGACATCGACTTGAGTAATGGAAACTTATCATGCTAGACTTACATTATGCCTCTTGTCATTGTCATTGATTATTTTCCCAAACAAAGCATCTTCGTGCACTCTGAGCATACCCTATTTTTGTCTGGTTGAGGACAAAGTGAACAAGGAACATACCACTATAGGCAATTAATGATGGGGATGAAGTCCTTGTTCATGGCAATCGTCACTAATTTCATCACATAAAGCTTCTGTCTTCACTTCCAACTATTTTCTTTTTGCATTGTAATTTCTCAATCTCATCCATAACCATTAGCTCAGTATTTAGATTAATTATGTATGCAATAAGTGCAAATCACAGTACCATGCATACACCAACGCTACTTGTGTATGACAAAATTATAGCCAGACAGACTTTAACTATAATCCAGAGAGCAAACTTGCATACATCGGAAGTATTGCTTTCCGGCCTACTCTGTTTTCTAATCTCTATGACTTTGACGTTTGGAGACAAACATGTATAATACTTCGCGAGGAGCTTTGACAAGAGAGTGAGATCAAAAGATGAGTAATCAGAAAAAAAAAAAAAATCATGACATTCAGTGGTGCTACGAAGCCCATAGCAAATGAGAATACAAGTAAAAAATAAAGTCCCCTAGGAATGTCCCAATGGTTAAGAACTCGAATCTCCCTATTGCAGATCTTAAGTTCAAATCTTGGAACAGGAGGGGAGGGCCTATCCCCTATCATATAGCTCATTATCC